TATATAATTTATATTTCATGGTACCTTAATTCTATTAGAATGTGAACTCTGAGGAGTATATAAGGCACGTTAATAAATAGTCTGTACTGTTGTGGCAAGGTAGGAGCTGAGGTTCATGGGTGATGTCGGTATTTTCACTGGTAATAATATTTGGAATTGAAATGGTATCGGCGGAATGCAGGCTCAAGCGAGAAACGAAGCACCTATTTTTAGCATCGTTTTCCGCTCATCTGATTGGCTCACTATAACAAAAAGTATTTTTTTTTGGGTGCAATGCAGATTCAGATTCAGCCTGGACCACTTTTCTCGATGACAATTCTGAGTTAGCGGTAAGTTTGCGGCACAAATGGTTTAAATGTAGAACATCTCATCGCCAACAGTTCGGTATCAAAATCGTTTGTACTTTAAAACTACGCGCCTATATGGGTTTCCTATATCTCCTATTCGTGTGGAATGTTCTTAATGTGAGTACTTGTACAGGTGTTTCCGTAGAAACCCTTATTAAAGGCCTCTTATTTCGTGTTTTTCTTCTTCTTGATAAATATAGTCTATCTGTATGAATTTGTTCGAAAGTATTATGGTAACTATGTACGTATGTCAATGGCAATTAAAGGGGTCTATTGTTGTACGTACGTCTGGTAGTTAAATGGGTCTATTGTTGTTCGTACGTCAATGGCAATTAAATGGGCCTATTCGTGTACGTACGTCAATGGCAGTTAAATGGGCCTATTCGTGTACGTACGTCAATGGCAGTTAAATGGGCCTATTCGTGTACGTACGTCAATGGCAATTACATGGGCCTATTTGTGTACGTACGTCAAAGGCAATTAAATGGGCCTATTCGTGTACGTACGTCAATGGCAGTTAAATAGGCCTATTCGTGTACGTACGTCAATTGCTGTGGGTTCATCTCCATCTGTAGCTGCGCACATGCATGGGATGTTATAGAACCATTTGGCTGCACTAGTGTATTGTATTTCTCGATCGAGCGTCTATCCCCCTGTCTGCAAGCGAGTTATATTTTAAACGCGGCATACCTACGAACTACATTGCTACCTATCTACCAATCAAATTCTGTCTATCTACCCATCACATTCTATCCATCTACCAATCATATTTCACTACCGACAAAACAAAACAGCTCATCCATAGCCCTCCCATTCGCAGGATGTGTCAACCGAGTTCAGCATCCAACGCTCGTTGGAATTGGCCTGGGGCAGATGGAGAAGCTCACCACGGTACAACAGCAAAGGCTCTGAGCGCACACACACAGACACATTGGGCGACACAGACGAAGCCTCTGATAGCGTCAAGAAACTGTCTATGCGTAAGGCTATGGGACTGTTGCGGGTGCAGTGTTTGTCGGTTGGATATTGTGTGGGGTGCCCGTCTTGTGATGTTTCGTGTTCGTATGTAGGTACGGCAGTGGATGTGTTACGGCCCTATTTATAGACTAGGAACGGCAGTGGATGTGTTACGGCCCTATTTATTGACTTTAGGAACGGCAGTGGATGTATTACGACCCTATTTATTGACTTTAGGAACGGCAGTGGATGTA